CAAACTTTTTCGGAGTGAGGGTTGTAAACTTTTGGAACAATCTACCAGAGAGTGTTGTGACGGCACCGAGTGTGAGCTCTTTCAAGAGAAGACTTGACCAACACTGGAGCGGGTTCAGGTACATTCAGGAGCCGGTGCATGCCCAGTATTTGCCAACAGTGCGTGACAGAGACGTGACTGATCGTCTGGCGGCTAGTTGTTGACCCTTGGGTGAAGAATAGAAGAAAAGAGTCGCATCAAATGCTCCAAGGGCTAACAAGCCGATCAGTGGCGAAGAGGATAAAGTAATTCTTTGGTTTGTAAACAACCGCACCAGGAGGCCACGTACACGCCAAAAGGTCTCTAACACAGTCATAATTATTGTTGCCTTTTAAAAACCAACGAACTACTGAATTATATATATATATATATATATATATATATATATGTTATATATATATATATATATATATATATATATATATATATATATATATATATATATATATATCATCATTCAATGGATAACTTTTAAAGGAAGAATGTGTTATTAATACTACTGTATACAGTATAGGTCTTTTTCTTGAGTTTACTAACTACAGCTGAGGGGTTCCAGGGGTTGTTTGTATCATTATATAATGAACAACTACTATGAGTATAGTAATCATTTTTATGTATGTTCAGACCCGGAAATCAGACACCGTAGCCGATATTTGTAGAAAAGGTGAGGGAACATGTCACACTGTTACTTTGCCAAGACTTTCGACAGCGCACCACATGAAAGGTTGAGAATTAAACTTGAAGAGCACGGAATTAGGGGGGGGGGGAGTGTCTTAGCTTGGATCGGAAACTTTCTTCATGACCACAGGCGATAGTGGCACGAAACCGTCATGTGTACCGTTATTACCATTTACGTGAGAAGTATTCAAGCACATTGCGTATTTGGTCCTGTACATGAGAATTGATATAGTTACTTAGTGCAAAAAAGTGGATACAATCTTAATATGTCGGCTATCTTGCCATTAGAGATGAAGTGTTGTGCCATTTCACACACAGTGTGCTTGGACCTGTCCCTAAAAGGTTCTATCTTCACACAGTCGAGGACGTAGTGTTCAAGTGTGTGGCCATATGTATGGCCACACACTTTACATTTAGTTTTGTTTACATCTGCTTGAGGAACATACTGCCAAAGGTACTTATATCCTAACCTTAATCTAGCGGTTACAACATCTTGTAATCTAGTGATCTTGTTACTTGCTCCATATACATGTTTCACTTGATACATCTCATCATGGTAACTATGGATCGACTAGTTCCTGTTTGCACTAGTCTACTTGCGTCAAACTCATCAATAAGTTCTTTCCTAATTACAGTTTTAAGGGTTCTTTTGACAGACCCAAATTGTATTCAACGGTGTCTTTGTTAGACGCGAGTTTGGCGAGGGCATCAACTCTGTGATGTTTTATGAGGCCTATGTGAGAGGGGATCCACAACAGTTTGACCCTGACACCCCGGTCAACAAGGCACGCATATTTGTGTCTGGCTTCAGAGACAAGAGCGTGACAACCTGAGTCGAGGGTACCAAGGGCAAGTAGTGAGGATAGAGAGTCAGTGATGATGAGACTGTCAGTAACAGTGGTTTCAATGAATTTAATAGCTGTGAGTATGGCAACTAATTCAGTTTGTAGAGTGGATGCCCAGTTGTTAATTCTAACTCCTTTCTCAATTATATTACCGTCAGGTTGAGTCACAACAATAGCACTTCCAGCCCTCCCACAGGCGGTGTTAAGAGATCCATCAGTGTAGATGGTCTGTGTGATATTATCATCAGCCTGTAGAGTGTGTATGTGTTCAAGGGCTCTCAATTTGGCAGTGTGTTGGAGATAAATGCTTTGTATAACTAATTTTTTAGGCGGATACGTCGGTATTGTGATATCGAAGGGAACTGTCCGCCAGGGTGGCAGGAAGCGCTGTTGTGTCTCAACTTTGTACAGGTGGTCTAGTCCAAACATCTTCATATGTGTAGCTGTAGTTTGGATCCATTTAGACTCACCAGTCCCATGGTTCATACATTCTAGCAATTTTAAGGAAACAATGTTATCAGGATCACCACGCAGAAGCCTCAGGGCTCTCATGAGGTTGACTTCAATTATTCTATCTTTAACACTGGGTACACCTACAGTAGTTCTTTCCTCATATTAAGTACTTTAGTGCTCATGGGACATCCTAGGATAATTCTGATGGCTTTATTTTGCATTTTCTCGAGCTTGTCAACGCCTTTCCCGTCACGAAGGAACAGGGCTGGTGCGTGGTAATCTATCAGAGATCTTATATAGCCTAGGTACATTGTCTTAACATTTCAAATATTAGCACCATAGTGCGGGCTGTACCCCGCTACACTTCTAAGAGGTCTCAGTCTTTCAGTACATTGGCGGGTTAGCTGTTGTATGGCAGGTAGGGTACAAGGGACGGAAACACCAAGATATTTAAAAGAAGAAACATAGTCAATAGTGTTGTTACCTATCTTGAACTTGGCAGGGCCGCGTTTGCGGTTACCAGCTTGTTTGTTGAACACCTTAGTTTTCTCAGTGGAGATAATAAGACCGAGGTTCTCACAGGCTGCATATACATGGTTCAGGGTGGTTTGCATTTCACGATGAGTTTTAGTATGTATAAGAATATCATCAGCATAGCTGATTGAGATATTGCTCGGGTTGTCTGGTATTAAATTTAATAATCCATTCATAAGAACATTTAACAATGTGGGCTAATTACTCCACCTTGAGGGGTACCAAGTTGCATATCTTTAACTTCACTTTTGTAACTCTGAAACAGTGCAGCAGCCCTTCTGTTGGTTAGGTAACCACTTATCCAGTGTAACAGCCTTCCTCCTATATCCATTTTGGCTAATTCGTACAATATCAGTTGCCTATTGGCATTATCAAATGCAGCTTTTAGGTCAAGAAATGTGGTGTATCTGTGCCTTTCATCACCATGCACAGTTAGGAATGTGGTGATGCAATTATGTACACCTTTACCATGGGTGAAGCATTTATGTTAGGAGACATGTGTTCTCTGATTCTATATAAGAGTCTGCCAAGAACCATCCTCTCAAAGGTTTTACACAGGCAGCTGGTTAGTGATATGGGACGAAAAGCATCAGGCTGTCCTGGTTTCGGTATTGGTTCAACAATACTGCTGGTCCATGAAGTGGGTAGTTGGCCCTCGACATGACTCATATTGTACAATACCAACAATGGATTGCCCGGCACACGCCTTAGTAGTCTAACGATGTTGTAGGTGACTCCGTCCTCTCCAGGGGAAGTTGACCTACCCCTGGCGAGGGCAAAAATGATGCACAGTGCCTAGGTGGTACCACAGTAGCCTACGGAGGCGTATTACAAGTCCCAACGGGGCGAAGAAGCAGCATTTACGGAGACCAAATATGAAAAGAACCTGGGTGTGTATGTTGAGAACGAAGTGAAGTTCTCGTATCTATTGTGAGAAGGTGAATCAAGCATCTAAAAAGAGGTGTTTCCCTGTTTGGTCCCGCCAAGACTTGATCAACAGATACATTCTGGAGCCAGTAGATGCACAGTACTTGCCAACAGTGTGTAACAGAGACGTGACCGGCCGACAGAGCCGCTAATAAAGCAATCAGTTGTGAAGAGGATAAAAGTAAAAGTAAATTATAAATTATGTCAGAGTAAATAAAATTAAAATAAAGTGTTCTTAGTTCAGCCGCACCAAAATAAATGACAAATGTCATGTAATAAAACATTACTGTGGTTCAACAGCTAAGGTCATTCAGCGCGTACTATAGGTTAATAAATATACCAGTCAATCAACAGTTAAATAATATGATAAATAGAAGTCACATTTAAATGTATTAATAAGAAACAAGTGTTGAGGAGGAGGAGCAGAGGGTCTGGCAACACTGAGAGCCAGGGAGGCGAGGGTCTGGCAACACTGCAGGCCAGGGAGGCGAGCAGGGTTGCCAACTCGGATTTTCAAATGTCGCTAGGCTGGTACCTAAAAGTAGCTAAATGTAGCTAAATCTTCCATGGAAAGTCGCTAGCTATTATTCCCCCCTTCAGTAATTTGATGCAAATAATATTTTCATAATGCCGACTATAATGGACGGAGTATAAATAAAATGCATTATGTAAAAATAAAAATATTATTTTTTTTAAAGTTTAATGTGCACACTTACCTATTATTCAATAGTAATTGCATCCCAGTCCTCTTGGTAGTGTGAACAACTGTAGAGCTGGAAGCATGTCAAGTGCTTGGTTCAGGTTCTCTTGTAACTGTATGCCTCCACAGTCCCTATCTTTCTTAAAATATCACTAGGAAGTTCACAACAGGTGTTCTGTCTTTTTAACCCATACTTTATTGTAAGAATTGCCTTTAATGTCGATAGTTTCATTTTGTTGCGCAATTTTGATTTCACAAAGTTCATATTACTAAATGTGCGCTCTACATCTGCGTTTGAATGCGGAAGAGATAAGGCAGCGAGTGCTTCAGCCAGATCATGGTAAGGGTTTTCACCGGTCGCATCTCTGTAATTTGCCACTTCTGACCACAATTTTAGGGTGTTAGATGCATGGACGGGCTGACATCAAGTGATCAGAAATAGACGTGTCCCTCCTTCTGTACCACGACCCGTTCAAATGTATTAAACTTTTCTTATTATTTATTGTCCCTGTAACCCCGTTGCTATATATTATGGCTCGAAATTAGGAAAACTGAGTTTTCATAGACAGTCCAAAAGTATCCAGAAAGTCGCTAGATTTCTGTGGATATCTCTAGAGTCGCAAATCGCTCTAAAATGTCGCCAGAAAAAAACAAAAAGCTCTAGATCTAGCTACAAAGTCGCTAAGTTGGCAACTCTGGAGGCGAGGGTCTGGCAACACTGAGAGGCAGGGAGGCGAGGGTCTGGCAACACTGAGCCAGGGAGGCGAGGGTCTGGCAACACTGAGCCAGGGAGGCGAGGGTCTGGCAACACTGCAGGCCAGGGAGGCGAGGGTCTGGCAACACTGCAGGCCAGGCGGTTGTTGTGAAGATGGCGGAGCAACACCTGGGATACCGGGAGGTGATCCCTGACCAGTCGGCCCTCGTCCAGTGGAGGAATATTACTATAGATACTGGTGAGTAATGCTAGTGGTCTGCCTCCACCCTGATGCTAGTCCTCAACCCTGATGCTAGCCCTCAACCCTGATGCTAGCCCTCAACCCTGATGCTAGCCCTCAACCCTTGGCTTAGTCCCCAACCCTGATGCTAGCTCCTCAACCCTATTGCTAGCCCTCAACCCTGATGCTAGTCTCTTAACACTATTGCTAGCCCTCAACCTGATGCCAGTTCTAACACTTTTGCTAGTCCTCAAACCTGATGCTAGCCTCTGAATACTCATTTATAGTCTTCAACCCTGATGCTAGCCTTAACACTATTGCTAGAACCCTTGGCTTAGTCCTCAACCCTGATGCTAGCCCCTCAACCCCATTACAGCTCCCTCAACCCTGATGCTAGTTCTCCTTAACACTATTGCTAGCCGTCAACCCTGATGCTAGCCTCCTAACATCATTGCTAGCTCCTCAACCCTTCTGATGCTAGCTCCTTAACACTATTGCTAGCCTCAACCCTGATGCTAGTTCCTTAACACTTTTACAGCCCTCAAACCTGATGCTAGTCTTTAACACTATTGCTAGCCCTCAACCCTGATGCTAGCTCCTTTATCACCATTGCTAGTTCAACCCTGATGCTAGCTCCCAACACTATTGCTAGCCGTCAACCCTGATGTTAGCTCTCCTAATACTATTGCTAGCCCTCAACCCTGATGTGCTAGCCCCAACAGCATTAAGTATAGCCTCAATCCTGATGCTAGCTCCTCAACCCTGATGCTAGCCCTTAACATTATTGCTAGCCCTCAATCCTGATGCTAGCCCTCAACCCTGATGCTAACCCTTAACATTATTGCTAGCCCTCAACCCTGATGCTAGCCCTTAACATTATTGCTAGCCCTCAACCCTGATGCTAGCCCTCAACCCTGATGCTAGCCCTCAACCCTAATGCTAGCCCTCAACCCTAATGCTAGCCCTCAACTCCTATGTTAGTTCTCTACAGTACCCTTGTACTATCCCTCAATATAGCCCTTAACACTCAGCCCTCATCACAGCCCTCACTAGCCCTCAACACTCAGCCCAGGTAATATATGAAGCTGCCAACACCTGCTTATATATTAAGTCTTAAATAAGGAGAAACAGATTTTTATTTATTCTGTATCTTTGTTTCCATCAGAAAATTACAAGTTTTGGCTAATATTAACAACTGTACCGCCGACGTGTTGTTTGATCGCCCACGGCAGGTGTTAGGTTAGGTTAGGGTCATCTCGTACCCAAGACAACTGGTACCTAAGATAACTCGTACCCAACTCACGAGACAAGTCGTACCCAAGATTACTTACACCCAATTCAAGAGATAATCCCTACCTATTAGTGTATATACCAGGCATTTAACTTTGTCTATGATTACAAAAAATGGTTATGTAAATCTTGTAGGAAAGTGCAGTGAAATAGTGAAATGTAATACAGTACAGGCTTTAAAACGGCTGGTAAATTTGTACTTTAGGACATGAGTCCCTAGGGGTTGACCATTAAGTTTTTCCAGTGTATTTTGGTGCGTTTTAATCTAATCTGATCTTCATTTTTGGAGGAAATTGATCGTTTTTGCCCCCCCAACAGCATGGGGACAGCTCTGGGAATTCCTGGTTTTGCTGGGGGAGAAAACCAAACTAGCCATTTAACCTAATCTCAGCTGGGCTCCACTCCCAGACCCCTGGTAGGCCTAGCTTAAACTAACCTAAATGTTTCAGTAGTTAAAAAACTTTCGGGCACGTCATGTCCGAAAGTACAATACCTTAGTTAGAAGTGGAAGGACCAGGGAGACGTAAGAATTGAATAGAATGATCTTCTTTCTCGTAAAACTCGACAATAAACGTAAAATAATCGCGGGAGCACAAACGACAACCAACCTCCACCACTGCCATTATGAAACTGGTCAATGAAATTAAAATCGTACCCAGGCTGCTTCCTTTGAAAAAAATCAAATGGAATTGGTCGAAAAAAATTTGCGTGATGATATCGATACCTCATTGTACGACTGGATGACATCAGTCATTATTGCTCATGTTGATGCACAGATAACATCTCTAGCGGAACCCGAAACTACGTGGAATCAATTAAGCTCAATTGTTTCGCTATTATCTATTTCCGTCAATTATATATGAGTTCAACTATACTCCTTTCGGCGGTGTGTACATTTATCTTGATGGCGTTGACGAAGTCTTGCTAGTTTGATCATCAAGAACATTGCGAGTTCTTCACCGCCACCCACACAGCCGGCTAAGTCAGTGATAGTGATAATTATAAGCGAGGATATGGACTTATATATGGACTTTGGGGGTTTGATAAAGGCCCTTGAAGCCTCTGTGGTGGATAGTGATTAATTGGTACAAGTGTGATGGTGAGCAATAATCTGCCCTCTGCCTCAGAACCAACCCCCCATCCCTGTGTGCCACCATCTTTTCTACTAATGTAAGTGTTAAAAACCTATATTATTGATATTTCTCTTAATTATTAATTGTGTGTGCATACCATCATAAAATTAAAGTTATTTTATTCTAGTCGTATTGTGTCTGAAAAAGTGGGTTTGAAGTTGCCGGTCTCTATTCAATTAATCCCATGTTATGTATGGATTCACTTTATGAGCATGATGGGTTGAATTAACCGCGTAAAGTGAGATTTACTGTTATATATATTTTTATATATATATATATATATATATATATATATATATATATATATATATATATATATATATATATATATATATATATATATATATATATATATATATATATATATATATATATATATATATATATCTATATATTTATATATAAAAAGCTTGAAGTATTTAAATCATCTTGTGTAAGAAAACTGGTTGACCTAGTTTGATTAAGAATTAAAATCAATAAACATTAGTGATGGTCAGTACAAAACTGATAATATGTTTTCATTTATTTGTCAGTGGCCAAGGTTAAAAATGCTTTGAAATCCTTGGATCTAGATGTATGATAGTTATTTAGTGGGTCCTATTTTTAACTTTCCTGATGATAGTCACGTCGTCCCCTTCTCTTAAGCTCCTCCTCATTGTGTGTTGGTGTGGGGATTAGTGGATGACATCATTATGGCCTGACCATGTTTAATAAGGTCCCTCTTCTTATATTTAAGCCTCTCTCTGTCCATGTTATGCATTATATGTATATATATAGTACTTATATATATATATATATATATATATATATATATATATATATATATATATACTATCTATATATATATATATATACTGCTCTCTCTGACTTGACCTACCCAGACTTTCTGACCACCCTCACTTCATTACTTATTATTGTACCAAAATTTGATCAAATTATGTTTTAGTCCCAAAGTCAGTACAGACAAAATTTTGTTTTAATTCACTTTGAAATGACTAGCTTAAAGTCGGTGTTTTGTGGTGCTGAGAAAGAAAAAGGAGCCTCATTTAGTTTTCTATGTATTTAAGCATTTCCGATTTCGACCATTTCAGCTTAGACCTGGTTGGGTCCCTAACCGTAATGAAATCGAAAATGCAAATTTATATAAATCTAAAATGAAATACAGTACAGTAAAAGTAGTCAATAATGAAGAATGGATACAGTGTTACAGGCACTTTTAATGTAGTCAGCTGAATGCACGGGGGCCCCAATAATTTTTCTATTCACAGGATACATGGAGATTTATTAATTGGAAGAAACAGAGGAGGAGCGGGGCTGGGTGGGTCATCAATGTAAGCTTTCTTCAGACAGGTTTATGTACAGGTGAAACTTGCTGGTTGAAGTATTGGATCATCTTTAGGGGTGAAGAGGCAGCAGTGGTGGGGCGTGAGGAGACAGCACTGGGGACTTCTTAAAATATATGTTGCAATTTAGACTGCACAGCTTGCTTTTTTTTTCATTATAAATCTCCCTGTTAGCAATCAAGATGCATCTTGGACCATTCTCAACTTTTGGCAAAATCTTCAACATTTTGATCCATTCAAGTCAAACATTTGCATCCCTTATTAATAGTAACAAATGTCTCTGCCATTTGTTTCACCAAAAAGAAGGGTGCAGGCTCTTCTTCTATATTAAGACTCTCTTCTTCCTCTGCAATTTTCTGTGCTTCCAGTTCAAAAAGAGCCTCGTTACTTAGCTCTTCTGCTACACTTTCAACCAACTGCTCAACATCTTCATTATCAATTTCTAACTCAAGCTGTTTCCCAACTCCGGGTCTTTTACTAATGAGAAGTGCTTCATCTTCATTAAATCCTCAAACTGTTCACATATCTTTCGGGACATTCTTCCATACTCATTCATGCACTGACCTGTAACCTCATCCATGCTGCTTTATGTTCTTTATACATTTCAAAATGTTTGTAGTCCTTAAAAAACTCTCAGCTTTCTCTCACCTTCAGTAGCAGCAACAGCCTGAAGCGAGAAGTTTATGCGTAAATATCACTTTAAAAACATGCTTTAGTCCATGGGTTGGATGACAGAGGTGGTGTTAGGATTGGAATTGAACTACCTTAACATCAGGGTGCATGTAAGTCAGGTGTGGTGGGTGTCCGGGCATTATCCAAATTATAAAATCTTGAATACAATTCCTTGTTGCAGACAATACTCCTTCTCGTGGAATGAAACAGAAGTCAAGGAACCAGTACTCAAACAGTTAGGGTCATCCAGGCTTTCTTATTACAGTCGGCCCTTAACATGTCTGGGGTTAGGTAAAGAGATACCGTGAGTGTTAAAATCAGTGTACTTTTGCCTTTGTGTCCTTATTTACCATATATACCTGTGTATATGATCGGTTTTAAGACCAAATTATTTGGCCAAGTGAAATTGGGAGCCTCTAAGCGGATGTAATAGTTTAGATTGGTTGAAAATATTTACCAGTAACTAGCAGTAAACAATGGAAGCGGCGCTTTAGCTACCACCAGCTGTGATGTCAGATTTTGATTGGAGCAGTCTCTTGCGTCATCATGTAAGCCCAAAGCAACAAATGCATGGTATGGT